CCCCCCCCCCCCCCCCCCCAAATCTTCAAGGAATTCATGGATTGGTGGTACCCAATTCTGACAAAAAATTTTAATATAATTATTTTTGAAGGAATTTATTGAAAGTATTGGAAAGGAAATAATAGTCCCAATTTTCAAAAGCGATAAGAGATCCCATGTCTTTTTGCCCCAGTATTCCTGTCAAAATACTTGGGAAATACTTACTTTTTCACCTTCAGACATGGTTCTCTGAAAGTAATAATTTTGGCAGAAGAGCAGGCTGGCTTTAGAGAAGGCTATTCCTGCATGGAAAATTGCTTCGCATTGTATTCTCTGGCAGCTACATCTGTTAAGACAAAAAGACAAAATCACCTGTATGTAGCCTTCACAGATCTCAAGGAAGCCTTTGACTCCATAGACAGATTAAAATGATAAAAGAAACTGGAAATAACTTCAATAGACAAAATTCTCGTACCATCAGTTGTCGCTGACTATTTAAATACAGAATCAAATGTATGTTATGGGATTGGTGGTGCCCCACCCAATAGTTTCCCAACTAAGACAAGGATGTTTCCTTGCTCCATTACTTTTCAACTTATTATTGAATGATTTAAAACAGGTTCAAACAGGGAAACAGTTCCATGCACCCATAATTTTGAATGACCATCTCTCTCTCTCTCTATGCAGATACATTAATTTTGTCATAATTCCAAATAGGTCTTCAAAGGTTATTAGATGCCTTTTAACAGTATTGCAACTCAAATAGCTTAGAAATGGACTTTGGAAATGAAAGGAGGGAATAGGATGGGTTTTTACAGGAAAAGGAATTAGAAGTGGTATCTTTCTTTAAATACCTTGGAATATATTTGAGCAAAAATCTGAGAAGGAATAAACACATTAAAAATATAAATGTTAGAGCAGGGGTGGGCAAAGTCCGGCCTATGGGCCAGATTCAGCCAGTAGTGAACTCCATTTCTCAGCAGCCCCTGCCCACGTGGCTGGGGCCAGTCTCCATGGAGACCAGCGGCAGCTGCACTGTGATAGCACAAGGCTGGGATTGCCATGGAGACCAGCCCCAGCTGTTCCGGCAGGGCACCTGGCAGGGCAGGGGACCGCTCCCAAGCCACTGGGATCTTGGACTGGGGACAGCTTGGTCCGGGTCCGGAGCCAGGGCAGAGCCACAATCTGCAGCTTGCATGCTCCAAGCAGGGGTGCACAGGTAGTGGATCACAGCTCTGCCCCGGCTCAGGACTATACTGTCACCACTGCAAGAAGCTGAGGCAGAGATGTGATCCGCTACATGTGTGCCCCTGCCCAGAGCATACAGGCTGCAGATTATGACTCTTCCCTGGCCCCAGACCAAGCTGCCCCTGCTGCAAGATCTCAGTGGCCCTGGAGCACCCCCTGCCCTACCACCCGCCCTGCCAGCACAGCTGGGGCTGGTTTCCATGGCAACCCCCAACTTGCACTATCACAGTGCAGCTGTGGCTGAGTTCTCCATGAAGGCTGGCCCCAGCCATGTGGGCAGGGGCTGCTGGGAAATGGAGTCCAACTACTGGCTGGATCTGCCATTCTGCCCACCCCTGTGTTAGAGAGCAAAACAAGCTGTGGGTGGAGTTTTATTCATCTACATTAAGATGGGTAGAGGAGCAGTTCTGGAACCACTAACAGCATCTTTATATGTGCTCTGGGGGTGGAAAAGTGTGGGGGGGCTTTAATAAGAACAGTTCTGAAAGCTGCTCTAATTAAAGCACCTCCAGAATCTTGTGTATTCAGTGTTCAAAATAGTGGCAAGGGTGTTTTACTAAAGCTCATCAAATGAGCTTTAGGTAAAGCACCCTCACCACCATTTTGAAGTGTAGGGTGCTGAATACATGAGATGAGGAGGTTGCTGGAATGCATTAAGTAGCATACTCCAGAAGACCCAATTAATCAAGTCTGCTCCTTTGTGTTGTAATTACAGCATGTTGGAGCAGCATTCTCACAAGTCTACAGAAACCCTAAGGGTCTGTAGATCCAAAGGAGATTCTGTTTTATTGTTTGGAGCAGATCTCTGGGGTATTGACCCTGTGTTCCACCCAAAATTGAAAAAAATTCTAATTGCTTTTTAAGGCAGCTTTTATCTTTACTTAATTCTATTCCAGGGAACTCATGAGCTCTAAAAATAGACTGATAAATGTCAGCACTTTAGCCCAATTAAGAACCCCTACATTACTGGATGAAAGTTAGATCTTTTACACCTACCAGATACCCCAAGAAGGGCATTTTAGGAGCCTTTCTGCAGCCAAATAAACCCTGGTTTGTTTGCTAATGAAGTTTTATACTCTCCTTTAGAAAAATGACCTGGGAAACATACTAAGAGTAACTGACCCAATATTTATCTGGGACTTAAAACACGATATAAATTTAAGAATTAAAGAGGCCAGCATGCAGACAGATATGCTGTCAGTGAGACTGTCTTGAATTTCCCCATTTTAAGTTTAGTAAACAAATTGGTCTGTAGTGCAAAACTACAAACAAATGAGAGACCATCACTGGATTGATGAGCTGTGATGGAGATCCCTAGCAGCTATGTAGCTCGGGATCACTGCTCAGGATCCCTAGTCTCCTCTGTTTTCTCACCTGCCACACCTTGGTGAAATTGAGTTACTTGGGAAATGGGAGGCTGCCTAGGACCCCTAAAATGGCTGCTGGTCTACTGTCGATCAGTGCACTAGCAAGACCAGATCTTATGGATCCATTTTGCCACCTTCAACATCCCTTCTAATCATGTCCATGCCTCACAGGTGTTGGCAATTAATGTCCAGTCAGGGTATTGGCCCCATTCAGTCCACTAGCTCCATTCAGTGAGTCTTGGAGCCAGCGAGTCTAATAACTTAGTTTTGTGAGTACCCAGTCCCAGTCTGATAGCTTGGTCGGGTATGCCCTCAACCCCAGTCCAGGATCTCTGTGTAGTAGGCACTCCACCCCCATCCACTTTCTCTGCATGGTAGGCACTCTGCCCCCACCCAGCCCCTGACCAGTTCTTGGTTTCCATGTCCTTAAGAGCCTCAACTGGCCCTCAGCCCTTCCATTCAACACAGGGCTCTTCCTGGACTGTGTCTTTTAGAATCTCCACTGACCTTTGGGCCCCAGATTAAGGTACAGACTTTCCAGGCCTCTGTACCCCTAAAAGGTTCCTGTGTGGGAGATGCCTCCCCTCAATCCCCTAGGCCCTTAAACTCTTGGTGGGCCTTCCGCCCCAGTCCACCCTTCTAGGGTCCTGGCTTCCCCTTTCTGGTCCCAAGAATGTTCCTTGCCACTTCAGGAAAAAAAAAGGGCAGGCAGTCTCAGGCCCCAGATCTGCCCACATGGTCTCCCAAACTCTCATATGCCACAGGCACCCAAAATGGGACCTCCTCTACCCTTTCAGTCATAGTTTACTCTGAACAAGAAGGCAAGCCCCTAGGCTATAGCAGAAAGCATTAGCCCTCTAGCAGCATAACAAAACCAAGCTTTTCATAATCATAGTCTCCTTATGTGAAGTCCTCTTGACCAACTGTTTTCACTCAGTTCTCCTTTCCCATCAAGCTGAGAAGTCTTCCCTACTCTCAGCCTGTTTATATCTCCACAGCCACCTTCCCTGTGCCCTCTCATAATGTGGTCCTGCTGGAGCAGCAGCTCCTCTCTCCATCCTGAGCTCAATCTCCTTGCTATCATTGCAGCAAGCCCTGCTACACTGCCTGCTTTACCCCATTGCCTGTCTGCTCTGAGTGTCTGCAATGTGCCAGTCCTATGCTGCTCAGTCTCTCCAGTCTCCTAGTAAGCAGTTCCCAGTTTCTGAGGTTCCCTGTGTTTGTTTACCACCCGTGTAAGTAACAGGGCATTCTTGAGCCCCTGTTACAATTGAGATTCATGCTAATGAGATCTGCAGTTGTCATGGGTAGATGATGTTAGATTCCATATTTGGATAGAACATGCTCTTGTAAGAAGAATGAGATTAATAACTTGAATCATAATCTGTGGTCTTCTATGTTCTTTGAAGAAATAAGAGGGAACTGGATCTCTCCAGTAATGGGAAAAACTAAGTACTGGGCTGATGCATGAAAAAAATCTGGCTCCTTTCTAACACGTTGGAGCCTGTCTTATACTCCTTAGGTGCATTCGCACTTGCAGAAAGAATAAGGGCCAAAATCAAGTTGAATTTTCTTGTTTGGTTTTATCATTCATTGCTCCATTTTACCTCTTCTTTTCGATAATTATACATCATGTTCTGTTTCTGGTACAATGGATAATCTTGTATGCTCTTAGTAAAAATTATTTATATAAATGTTATTTAATTTTATACATATAATTTTATTGGTCATTTTGTTGTATTGTTTTGGTGAAAGTTAAATAAACTATTACTACATTTACTGTCTCTCACAATACAGGAACTAGAGGTCATATGATCAAACTAATAGGTAGTAAATTAGAAACTAACACAAGGAATTTTTTTTCATAGTGTCCATATCTGCATGTGATGCTTACTGCAGAATTGCCTAATTAGCTCTGCAGAAAAGTGTCAGCATCTACACATGCAGTTGTATTAGGATGGCGTAAACTAATTAACTCTGCCATAGGATAGTACTGCCAAACACAAGTACTATCCTAGGGTGCAGCTATTTACTTTGTCACAATGTATGTGTAGATACTGATGGGGCATGAGGGTGCTTCAGTGTGGCGGCTGCCTGCTGGCTAGCCCCATGTTGAAGTACTCTCATGCCCCAACCAGCTCCTCTGTAGTATGGCAAACTGCACCAGAGTTTATTCAGGTGTGTTACTGGGTATGTCTACATGGGCAATTATGTAATTAAAGTGAAGAACTCATTGTCAATTCTGGAAGCTGACAGTTTAACCAGATTCAAAAAGGGATTGGACAGATTCTTGGAGGAAAGGTGCATCAGTAGCATTTGAGCATAGGATTTAGGGTCTGTGAGTCAGAGAAAGTTTCTATACTAAGGATATGAGTGCCTCAGAATCCAAGCTAGCATTAATATGAATCAACATTTGTGAAGCTCACACTGTAAGGTGTTACAAAGCCCTTAGGTTTATAGCTTCTGAATCAGAACTAACTGGATATTTAATGCTGGAGGTTATAAGTGGGAGAAGAACAGGGGAAAAACCCAAGTCATACCCTTTTCACTCTCCCTTTCAGCATCCACTCTCTGCCCCTGTGTGACACAGGATACTAGGTGAGATGGATTTACGGTCTGATGGTGAGATGGATTTATGGTCTAGTAAATGGCAGTTCTTATGCATTGATTGCAAGTATTCAGCAGTCATAAGGTAGACTCCTTCCAAAATCATTTGATAATTTTGGCTTAAAGCTTCATGAGTTTTAAAAATAATAAATTTTGGACTCTTTGGAATATTAGGGCAGAATCCTCTCACCCTCACGGCACTTATCCAGCTACGTTACCACCATTTTTGGCACTTATACACTGTTTGCAATCTTACTTTTCATACAGTTTGAATGCACAAGTACTGTGTTCAGACTAGTTAGGGACATTGTGCCATACGCACAAGTACCTAGCCAAGTGTAAGTCCAAAAACTGTAGCCAGGCAAAAACCCATGGCAAAGGAAGACTGTAACTGGGTCCTGCCCCAGGGACTGCGATGCCCCTGGAGCCTCCTTCTGCCCTTGTTATTTTTATTTTCTTTGGACAATCTCCCCTTCATCTCCCTTGCCATTTCTTGAGGTAATTATGCTTTTGGAAAAAAGGGAGGCTGCCCCAGGACTCCCCAAGCAAGATCACATACTCATTAACACAGGTATCACTGCTTATCACCTTAAGGGCTAATTATGTGGTCTCCTCATCTCCCCTTATAGCCATGCACAAGCCTTGCAGATGTTACACATCATAGCATATTAAACCCCATCGTCCAATGCAGTCAGTCCCTCATTTCTGGGCCATCAGCCACAGTGTCAACTCCAATAAAAGTGGGCTTCTAAACCTGGAACGGTCTCCACAATTGTTGGAGCTTCCAACCCCAGTGCCTTTAATTTAATTCTGGGCTTGGGCCTCTTTACCTCAAACAATCTCTACCTCTCTTGGGCTTAGGCCTGTGTCCTCTGTCCCTCCTGGGTTCAGGCCTCATTACTTCCAATAGATTCCACTCCTCCCGAGCTATGGCCCCTCTGGCCCTGCTTGTATTTGCCCTTTGTGGGCTGCAGGTACCTGACCCTGGTTCTTACCCCTCATGGGCTGCGGGTCCCTGGCTTTGGTTCCCAACACTTTATGACTATGGCCTTGTTCCTCAGCCTTAGGTTTAGGCTTTACATTTTCAAATGTTTCTCGATCACATACATTATGAAAGAAAAACAACCATGCCTCAAAGCTAATTTGTGTATGTGAGTAGCAGGAATCCTAGGAAATGGGATTCTATACTGAGGTGACCTTACTGAAGTCTCTAATACTCTGTAAAGTGTTCTTGCTATATCAAGTCCTCATCTTCCCAAGCTGAGTTGAGCTACTTTCCTTTATACACTGTTTCTCTAATTCACTATCTTCATTTTCATTTATAAAAAAGTACTGTTCTGTTGCAGAAAATAACTCAAATGTCCTGGTTCTTTCAATCACAGATTAATGAGACAGAAACTTTAGTTTTGGACTTTTAATGAGAAATTATTAAGTCAGAGAACACAGATGTACACTTTATGCATGATTATGGTTATGTAAGAATAAATTAAATCAAAGAACTCTTTGTTGTTTAGTTTTCTGTTAAAGTAGCTTATAAAACTGAGTTTGAAAGTGAGCACTTAATAAGTCCTCATGGATGATGAGGTTTTATGTTAGCCAAGCCAAGAGATCAATTTAAAAAGGAAGGTAATTGACAATATCGTGATCAGACTAGTCAGAACTATTTTATACAAACTTTCATCTGAGTGGTCCTGAACACCTATGTAAAATATGATTAACAACATCATACTAACTAGTGTCTAGTCCATACTTTGCATTCATAAAGGGCGAAAAAGCACTATCCTGAATTTATTTGTGGGAAAGAAATGAGATCTATAAAGAAACTTTCTATCTATTGTTTTGTTCAACTATCTGATTCTCCTAGGTGTTATACAGATTCTCATGCAAGACTCCTATAATAACCAAACTGCCCTGGTTCCCTGCAGGGCACTGGATTTTTATTACCTGTAGATGAATTAGTAGGCTGAGTAATAGTATTTTGGCACTACTAGCAGATTTTGCTTTAAAAACTGTTTTTATTACAAAACCTGTCATTTTTATTTTGGCCTGGGCCCTCCCAACATTCAAGTTTCATCCCTATGGCACTGTATTTTATACCTTTTAGTTATAATTCCATTTCTGACATTCACCAGCTCTGTCGTCACCACCACCATTTTTAAATGCCTTTGTTATCTGTGGGCACTTTATATCTTCACATTCAAAGACCGACCGATTTTTCAACTGCGCCTCAGCATCTGAAGACCTAATTTTGCCACTCTTCCTTAGTATCTTCCAAATAGTTCCACTGATTTCATGATTT